GCAGAGCCACTGGGTGGATTAGAACCACCAGTCTTTGGTTAGCAGTCGAGCATAAACCATTTGTGTGTGTGCCACCCCCAGGGACCTTGCTGTTCTCAAAACTGTAAGAATCCTGATGAGAACAAAAGCAACAAGGCCTGTCAGGGAAGCAAGCACACAATGGGAGGCGCTTACTCTCTGAGTCACTTGCTCTTGGCCACCAAGTCAGGATTCACACCCAGGACGGTCTGATGCCAAACTGTCTCCCAGGGACACCATGAACATGCTGACCTCCATGTACCAGTCAACAGTCTCCCAGCTGTTCGAGGGGATGTCCCCAGGGTCTGTCACAGAATCAACCCCGAGTCGTGATGATTCCACGTGTGTCACAGTCAAACCGTGTTCCACAGGGTTGCCAACGGCTGGTTTTTTCAGAAGTCAGTCTCCTGAGGCACCTCTGGGTACCCAGACTCCACCACCCACCTTTTGGTTACACTGTGCGTGTAACCGTTTGCACAACCATGACGGACAGACCTCCCTGGCCCACCTGCTGGAGGTGCTGATGGGTGCAGACCTAAAGGGCTAGCCTAGTGACCGTCTGAGGTAGTGGGGATGCCTTGGTAGAACTCCCCCCCCCCGTCCATGCAGGAGATCCGGGTTTGATTCCTGGCCGATGCACAGTGGAGGCTGGCGTGTGGCTAGCATGCTAGGAGCTCCTAGACTAAGACTGGGAAGAAAGGCCTGGCAATCTCCTTCTGAACCCTACCCACTGAAAACTCCGGGGGCCACAGTGGTCTGCCTCTCAACCAATCAATCACGCAGGACTGGGCAGCGCTTAGTTCCACTGGGTGTGGGGACGTCAGGCGGCGGGGAAACACGCCACCCCAGGCAACCACCCCACCTCAGGCAACCACACGGACGCCTTTACCTTAGGGAAGGTGGTGATGATCCGGTCCTGGCTCACAGGCGGCCCCAACGGCTTTAGGGAGGAGCTCATCCTGTGGGAGTCCTGTGGACCAGGGAAGGCGTTAGGCAGGTGCCCAACGTGGTGCTTGGGAACCCACCATCACGTTTCATCCTAACTTCTCACCACTTTCCAAACAAATCCACACCCCTCCTCGACCAGGAGCGCCAGGGAAGGCCGCCTGACACAGGAAGAAGGCAAGGCCACCTCTCACTTGCACGCCTGCCCAGTGCCCCTGGAGTCAGGGATCAGCATCCTCTCAGGTGTCCAACCGGAAGGGCCCTGTCTGAGCCTAGCTCGCGGCTAAGCCTGGCACAGACCGCGAGCCGCACATCCGGCCAGCACAGTGGAGGCAGGGTGAGGAAGGCTTTGCCCCAAGTCCCCAGACACCGCCAGGGGGTCCTCTCCCCACAGCGTCCGCAGCGCCGCCCAGAGCGGGCCGAGCGCCCAAGGAAGGTTCCTTCTGCTGCGCCCCCGCCCCTCCTGGGTGGCTCTGACCCAGGCCCGGGGTGTGGGCCTTTCCCGCTGCTGCGCCCAGGTTCTGGGAGGGGCGGGCCAGGAGTCCGGCAGACTTACCGCGCGCGGCTGCAGCGACGGCGGCGGCGGTAGCTAAGGCCGTGGGGTGCTGGACTGCGCAGGCCCTGGGCTAGCTCACCACGCGGCTCCTATCACCATGGCAACGAGGCCCACGCGGGACCTCCGGGCGTCGGGCGGGGCTTGGGCGGTTTGGGGTGGGGTCTGACCAAGGAGAGACTGGCGCATGCGGCCTGCACAGGCGATCACCATCGCAACAAGGGCGGTGCCGGGTAGGCGGGCGGTAGGCGGGGCCAGGGCGGTCAGGGAGTGGGGCCTAGTCCAAGGGGCGTGGTCTTGGTGGGATTGATCGTGGAGACTCGCGACCCCGGCTTCCTCAGTAAGTCACCACGGCAACGAGGGCCTCCCCGGAGCTGCGGCTGCTGACCAGGCCTGGGAAGGGCTGCCAGAAGAGATTCGTTGCCCGGTGATTACCATGGCAACGGGAGCGAGGCCGGGGCGAGGGGGAGTGGGCGGGCCCAGGACGACCAGAGGGTGGGGCTTCATCCCTGGGTGGGGTCTGGGCGGGGCGGGCTGCGCGGGGCGGCGCGCAAGTGGCCTTCACTTGGCAGAGTAAGAAGCAAGGATGGCTACTGAGTACGTGAAACGCTTAAGTGTTTGTTTTTTTCTGGTCATCTCTTTCCAGGTTCACTACAGATCTGTTGCACCATTTCTACCTTCAGAATTTGTCCTGAATCCTCTTTCTCCTCACTTGCCCTGGTATCACCCTGAGCCAGGCCACCCTATTCTTATCCCTTACCTGGTAGCCCTGTGTCCACCCGGGCTCCTGTCTTAGTCCCAGGGCAGCAGCCCCAGTGACTCCGTTGGAACAGATCGGATGATGCCAGTTCTTGGCACCAAACTCTCCAATGCCTCCTCCGTGCTCTCGGATTTAAAAAGTCCTTACAGTGGCCCCAGAAGTCCTGTGTGATTTGACCCCCTCTCCGTTTCCTCTTCTACCTGGTCTACTGCTTCCTCTCAGCCCAGTCAGACTGTTCTGTCTTCTTTGCTGCTCTGCGACGGTGCGGGCCAGCCATGGGGCCTTTGCACTAGCCGTCCCCCGGGCCTGGAATGCCCTTCCCCCAGATACCCACCTAGCTCCCTTATCACCTGCCACAACATGGCCTCTAGGTGAGGCCTCCCCTGACCACTCTGTGTGTACAATTCCTTTTGTTTGGCAGCTAACCAAAAAGTCAGCAGTTCAAACCCACCAGCTGTTCCATGGGAGAAAAATGAGGCAGTCTGGATTGGCAGCCATGGAAACCCTATGGGACAATTCTACATTGTCCTGTAGGGTCCCTACGAGTCAGCATCCACTTGAGGGCAGTGGGTTTTTTTTTTTTTTTTTGTATCATTCACTGGGCCACCGAAGCAGCAGTCAATTCAAATGACATATTGCATTGGGCGAATCTGTTGCAAAAGACCTCTCTCAAGTGTTAAAGAGCAAAGATGTCACTTTGAAGACTAAGATGCACCTGACCCCCAAGCCATGGTGTTTTCAATCATCCCAAATGCATGTGAGAGCTGGACAATGAATAAGGAAAACTTTTCAGGGCATCAGGAAAGGAGGGTAACTTGAGTAGGTACCAGAAGACTGAAAAATGTACCCGGAGGTGTGCTCAGAGACGTAAGAAATATATTATAAGGAAACTAAGAGTAAAATAAAAGCAAAGAGTTTGCAGTACAAGAGCAGATGGCCAGTAGTCCAGCAGTGGCAGGCTGGGCCAAGTTCAAGTAACCGCTGACCCCCTCCCACTTCCCAGGGATATTTCTGCCTGGGTTTGAGGAGCTAGGGATGGGGACTGCGTGTCTGTTCCCAGACAGAATGGCGCTGGGCCCGGGCAGCTGGGGGCCCTGGACGGGGTCTTAGGACCGCCACCTGTCCTCTACCCTGATAAGACGCTGCCATCAGCAGCTTCATGAGTTGTAACTATTCTAAGGAAGGGCCCTTCTGGCCTTGAGGAGGGGAAGGGGCATGAGTTTATAAATCTCTTTCTTCATTAAACAAGATGGAGTCCAGGAGCCATTTTGGGGGCTTTAGGGCTGTGCCCCATGTAAAAGCAGATAGCAACTGACACACTGGAATGGTGATGTTGGTGAGGAATACGGAATGTACCACAGACGGCCAGAAGAACAAACTGTATGGGAAAAGGTACAGCCGGAATGTTCCTTAGAAGCAACCATGTCGAGACTTGAACCTGGCTGACTTTGGGCAAGTCAGAGGGAAAGACCAGTTTCTAGAAAAGGACCCAGGGGTTGGTATAACAGAAGGGCAGCCAAGACGGAGCGACACACAGCCGCACAGTGGATTCAGACATACCAATGACCTTGAAGATGATGCAGGACCAGGGAATGCTATATTCTGTTGTACGCGGGGTCACCATGGTGCCCGGCCAACTGGAGGCTAACCCGCAACAATTTCACGTCTGTGAGGTTCTCCTAAACGGGATAATGTACGATCTCACGGGTTTCCTCTGTAGATGAAGGCATGCAAAGCGCCCGGGTCCAGCGAAGTCTCTGTCCTTCCGGTCTTTGCCACTAACAAAGCCCTTTTACGCACAGGGCTGCCTCCTTCCACGACACCCTTGGGAAACATCACTGTTCGGGTTTTGCAATCAGGCCACCTAGGCGCGCTGGGCTCCGAGTGCGTAGCCTAGCAACCGGGTCGCCCAGCAACGGGTGCGCGTCTGGCGGGTGGACGCCAGAGTCTGCGCGCGCGGAGGCAGGTGAGGCGGCTGCGGCGGCGGCGGCGGTAGGAAGATCCCGGGGGCAGGGGGCCCCCCAGACCCACCCACCCCGGTTCACACGGGAACCAAGTCACCCTCGCTTCTCGGCGACCAGACTCCTGCAGCCCACGCTTCCCGGAAGGGCCAGGCCAGGTTCCCGGCGGGCCCCCTTCCACGCCAGGAGAGGGCGCCCAGGCTGGAGATGGCCGCGCCCCTCAGGCCCCGCCCCTCCTGGTCCCGCCCTCATGGCCCCGCCCTCATGGCCCCGCCCCTCATGGCCCCGCCCCTCTCCCCCGCCGTCACCGGTTGCCTGCACCCTTCCTGGTGCAGAGCTAGGGCTGTCGCTGCCGCTGGCTGTGGGCATGTCTGGAGCCCTGTGCGTCCAACTCCTGTAAGTCAGTCAGTGTAACAAACTGCCCCTTTGCAGCTGCAGAAGGACACGTAGGAAGTAACGCGCCGAGGGCCACGAAGCCACTTTGAGTCCACATGGCCTGGGGCAGGGGCCAGGTCTTAAATAAGTCTCCATTTAACGCTTACACCAACCCTGCTGCCCTCGGGTTCACACTGACACACACGGCGACCCGGTGTGTACGGAGCAGAACCGTGCTCCACAGGACTTTGTAAAAAATTGTGGTTTGGGTGAAGGTTACAGAACAAATTGGTTTTCCATACACATTTAGATTCATGACACTGTCTGCAATCCTCACCATGTAACAGCTCTCTTCCCGCTTCCTCCCCGTGTTTCCCTTTCCCTGTGTCCTTTCCCATCCCTTCCTGCCTTCTGAGCTTCCTCCCTGGCACATGCTGCCCTTGGGATCGCCTAGCGTTGGATGTTCTAAGGACAGTGCGCCTCCCTGATGTTATAGTTCACCTTATGGGTCTGTCTACCATTTGGCTGAGAGTTGAGCCCTGGGGGTGAGTTCAGTTCCAGGCTTTAAACGGTGTCTACGGGCCACAGGAAGACTGGGCAATCCACTTCTGTAGTGATACCGCTGCGGAAACCTAAGGAGGGGTGGCTATGAGTTGGATCTGACTCCACAGCAGTGAGTGAGTGAAGGGCCTAGCCTCAGGTGTTCTACCATCTTTATAAGACCAGGAGGCCTGTCCACAGGGTTTCCAATGGCTGATATTTCAGAAGTGCTAGATCGCCAGGCCTTTTTTCCAAGGTGCCTCTGGGTGCCCTCAAACCTCCAACCTTTTGGTTAGTTGAGCTGGTTCACTGTTTGCACCCATCGGAGAGGCCTTCCTGTAGCTTGAAAGGCTCAAAAGCCTTTCTTTTTGTGACATGACAGGCATCTGACAGGGGTCCCTCGTGGGTCGGTGAGCCTGACCTGCCTTTGAGCTCTCGTCCTTAAGCAGTTATGTCGGCCCTGGCAAGCTCCTTGGCCTGAGCCGCAGTTTGGTCATTTGTCGAATGGAGATAACACAAGCCTCTCCTTACAGGGGAGCTGAGTGAGCTCCTAGCTATTGCTGGCCCAGAATAAATGCTGAATGTGGAGGCAGCCTGAGTGTGTGTCTGCTTTGTTTAGTTGCTCTCGGTCCTCCTGACTGAAGACCCAGTGTGCTCAGTATCCGCGGTGTCAGCACTGGAGTCGGGCATTGGGGCTGCAACTTACCTGCACTGTGACCTGGGCTACTCCTTTAATTACTCTTCACCTCAGTTAGTCCAGCTGTAAACTGGGAGCAAAAATGCTTGCCCACTTGTCCTCACAGACAGTTTTGAGATTAAAATGAGAAAACCCACTGCCGTGGAGTCTATTCTGACCCACAGCGCCCCTAGAGGACAGAGTGGAACTGCACCACAGGGTCTCCAAGGCTGTCAGTCTTCACAGAAGCAAAGCCCAAACCACACCCACTGCCATGGAGTCTATTCCGACCCACAGCGCCCCTAGAAGACAGAGTGGAACTAACTGCCCACAGGGTCTCCAAGGCTGTCAGTCTTCAAAGAAGCAAAGCCCAAACCAAACCCACTGCCGTGAGTCGATCCTGACCCACAGCGCCCCTAGAGGACAGAGGGTTTCCAAGGCTGTCAGTCTTCATGGAAGCCGACCGCCTCATCTTCTCTGACACAGCGCCTGGGGGGCTTGAACTACCCACCTTTTGGTTCAGTAGCCAAATACCTTAACCACAATGCCGCCAGAGCTCTCAAATGAAAGGAAGCTTGTAAATCACAGTGGTAGTAAAGGCAGCTTTCTGGGATCTCTATCCAGAGGTTTCGTCTGGAAAGCTGGTGATTTGCACTCTTCCAGTGCGGAAAGATGGCCCACGCCCGAATCTCCATGCACCTGCCCCCCGACATCAACCCCACCCAGGCTGCCATCGCTTACGGCTGCCGAGCCTTGCCCAAGCTGAACGAAGAGCTGCAGTCGGAGGACTTGCGCACGAAGCAGAAAGCCCTCATGGCGCTGTGTGACCTCATGCACGACCCGGAACACGTCTATGAGGCCATCAAGATAGGTGAGGCCCCAGTGTCTGTCCCACCTGCTCAGTCCGACCGTGCCTGGGCACCTGCCCCAGAGTCATAGTGGCCCCGCAGGCCAGCAGACAGCCCTGTGTGTCTGCCGCACCCACAAAGCTGTCACAAACGGTGGGTTCACTCTCACCGATGTCAGAGCAAGAGCTGAGGGAGTTTGAGGCCATCAGCACCCCTCTGCCAAAGCACTGTGCCCAAACCACTCCCCCGGCCCCTAGAGGACAGAGTGGAACTGTCCCCCAGGGTTTCCAAGGCCGTCAGTCTTTATGGAAGCTAAGCCCAAACCATATCCACTGCCAGGGCGTGGATTCCAACTCACGGTGCCCCTAGAGGACAGAGTGGAACTGCCCCACACGATTTCCCAGGGTGTCAGTCTCAGGGAAGCTGACTGCCTTATCTTTCTCCCTCCGACTGGTACAAACCGAACACCAAATGCACTGCCATAGAGTCATATCCGACACATAGCAACCCCTCCTTGGGTTTCCGAGGTGGTATCACTACGGAAGTAGATTGCTCAACCTTCCTTTCGAGGAGTGGCTGTGGGTGGGTTTGAACCACCAGCCTGCTGGTTAGCAGTCAGATGCCTTAGGCACTACGCCACCAGAGCTCCTCCTCAGACCAGTAGGTGGGTCCAAACCAAATTTTGGTTAGTAGCCCAGTGCTTTAACCACTGCACCACCAGAGCTCCTAAACAGATACTTTCTGCTTCCTAAGTAATGACTTTTCCCCTCTTTTCCCCACCCGCCCTGGTCACCGCTCATGACCTTTTGTCTCTGGGCATATGGCAGAGATTTCAGTGGGCTCATGGGAGATTTGCCCTTTTATGACCACCTGCCTGCACTCAGCATGATGTTTTTCAAAGGCTCATTCATGTCAAAGCATGTGCTGGGACTTCACTTCTTCATGGCATGTGTACAGCACATGTTGTTGATGACATTTGTGGACCCAGGCGTCTGTGGATAGACACTTGGGTTCTTTTCGCTTTTTGTTGTTATTGTTAGGTGCTGTCGAGTCGTTTCCGACTCATAGCGACCCCATGTCCAACAGAACTAAACTCTGCCCTGGCCTGTGCCAGCCTCACAGTCCTGGCTGTACCCGAGCCCACCGTTGCAGCCGCTGCCTCAGTCCATCTCGTTGCGGGTCTTCCTTTTTTACCCAAGCCTCCCCTTTACCAAGCATGACATCCTTCTCCAGGCGCTGGTCCCTCTGACAACCTGACCAAAGTACGTGAGACCAAGTGTCACCATCCTCGTCTCTCAGGAGCATCCTGGCTTGCTTCCTCCAGGACCGATTTGCGTGTTCTTCTGCCAGCCTAGGGTGTATCCCGTGTTCTTCACCAACAGCGTAATTCAAAGCATCCATTCTTCTTCGGTCTCCCTTTCTCATCCAACTTTTGCATGCATAGGATGCAATTGAAAACTCCACGGCTTGTGTCAGGCTCACCTTAGTCCTCAAAATGACATATTTCCCCTTTCTGTCTATAGTAAATATTACTGCCCAGAACTGATGTCTGTTTGAGTTGCTCAATAAAGCAGGGTTTATATATGCTTGATCTGGCAACTCTCGGCGAAACCTGCTCCAGGTCACGTGACTAGGTTGGGGCAGGGGTCCACTCTGACCCCAGGTCTCTTCAATGCCATGTGTCAGCCCTACAGCAGCCTGCATGACAAGACGCTAGTGGACAGTGTACGGCCTTTTCGTGCGGCCCAGGAGGCTGTGTTGGGGCGGGCCTGCCCACACAGAGTCCCCGCTCCGTGACTGAGGTGCCTTCAGACCGGATATTCCCGCAGCTGCCCACGGGGAGCTTCTCCTGCCGCCCTCAGGGCGAGGGGACTTCCCGGAGGTGGGTGTTCACAGGCGTTTCTGCTCCGCAGGCTGCCTGGAGAGCCTGAAGGCTTTGCTGAAGGATGGCGACCACGTGGCGCGGATCAAGGCCACCGAGGCCCTCTACATCATGGCCGCACACAACGTGGGCAGGTGGGTTCCGGCCCCACAAACAGCGTGCGGCCTCCGCACCGCCCTCGTCTGGGGGCGTGGCCCGATGACCTAGACTGGGCACTTCTTGCTGGCCAATGCAGCCTACACTTGGGGAGCTTTGGGGTGCCTTTGAGGGGGCCTCATGGGGCTCTGCACCCCAGACCAGTTTTTATGTTCACTCTTGGCTCTGAGGAGGAGTTCTAATGGCACAGTGGTTAAGGCATTTGGCTGCTAAATGAAAGGTGGGCGGTTGGAACCCACCAGCTACTCCTCGGGAGAAAGATGGGGCAGTCAGCGTCAGTATTAATTGACAGCCTTGGAAACCCAATAGGGCAGTTCCACTCTGCCCTCTAGGGGCGCTGTGAGTTGGAATCCATGCCC